ATTCGCTATCTATCACTCCCATTCTTGGTCTGGCTCGGGAGCTTCTCTGTGTACCCAGTTCCAGGTGCAAGTTTAAGCCGATGCTTGGCCATCTCATGGTCACTACTCGGAATCGTCCAAGCGGCGCATCTCCTACTGATCAGCCCGATGGACAAGCAAGAGCTCTCTAACGAGAGGCCAATGCGCTCAAAGTCTACTATAGGGCTTTTGTACAACTGTCTTGAAGCACTGTCAATGACTCGTGCAGTTGATACGCACCGGCGGGTGAAAAACGTCCCTCCTCAACCGGCATATTACCAGAGATATGGAGCCCAAATTCATTCTGCCCGGTTTTGCCTAAGGCAGTTTGTCATTATTGCCTGGCAGTATATTGTCATGGATATTTTCCAGACCATTGCCCGTCAAGAAGCCTTAAAAGAGGGGTATCAGCCCGAATTTGCGCCAATAGATTGGATTGCGCCGGTGGATGTATGGATTGAGCGGGCGATTTCCAACTTGATCTTCTGGTTTATTCTCAGCAGAGTATTGATCGATGTCCATTTTCGAATATTGTCAGTCATCTAGGTATTATTGTTAGGTGATTCTCCCGCAAATTGGCCTCCGGCCTTTGGACGGATGGCAAATACGTATACTATTCGCGGTTTTTGGGGGTGAGTCCTTGTTTTAGCAGTGGCTATACAATTGTTGCCGCGCAATATGTGCTAACCTATTCAAACAGGTGTTTCTGGCATCAGTTTCTTCGCCAGCCTCTCACGGCTGTTAGCAACTTCGTCGCGCGTGACGTTCTACTTCTGCCGAGGCCATCTGTATTGGAAAGATACACAAACATTTTTACCGTTTTTCTTCTATCTGCGATTTTGCACAGGATCCTCGATTATGTACAGACCATTCCGAGTGAGTATTCTGGAGCGATGCCCTTTTTCCTTTCTATGGTATTAGGCGTCATGATTGAAGATGGCGTGCAAGAGGTTTGGAGACGAATAGAGTCTCCTCTGCAGTCACAACTGGCGTGGAAAGATCCTCCTGTTTTGTGGTGGCAGAGAATGATTGGCCACGTATGGGTGACGGCATGGCTGGCGACTACGTCGACTTTGTGGTTCAATCCAATGTCTCAATTGCCGAAGGAGGAGACTACTTTGGTTCCCTTCAGCATCAGTGAAAGGCTTTCTATCCCAGTGATGGGAACGCTTGCATCATTTTATGGGATATTCTTGCACTTTGTGCTCGCCACTGAAGTATGAGCATGTGAGACCAAAATAGTTCAGCTCCAAGTTTGGAGGCTATGGATCGTAACAAGTTCTTTTTGTTGCAACTTTTCGATACGATATTGTGGTTGACTGTCCGTCCCCAACCACACTAGCTGTCAGATGCTGCGTAACATAATGTTGGTTTGCCTCCTAGCTCCAATCTGCCGTCCAATCATGGTCTGTTTCAATTCGTTCTTAACGTAATTCACATGCGAGTGGGCCACCCAAGCGAGTGGGCCACGTGCCGCGAAACGCGTCAATTAATTAGACCTTCCTTCTTTAACCACCTACCATGCCACCAATTCGTACTCAATCCTCTCGAAATTTAGTAGAGCAGGAGGGTAGGGTCTTATTAGCTATTTAGGCTATTAAGAATTAAGAAATTACCTCTATACACGAAGCAGCACGCCACTTTCAAGTGCCCCGTTCAACCCTACAACGCCGCCTTACCGGTGACATCTTTCGTCCTAATTCACGCGCAAATAACTATAAATTGACCGAAATTGAGGAGGAATCTCTTTAAAAATGGATTCTCTATAGATTCTCGCAGAGCACCCCCTCGGCCCTCTTCTATACGAGAAATAGTAGATTTATTGCTCGCGGCGCGTGGATCTACCCCGGTTATTTCGGTCGGTGAGAATTGGGTTACAAACTTTATAAAAAGGCATTAAAACCTTTCCTCCCGATTCTCGAAAGGCTATAATTACGAGCGCGTGAAGTGTGAAGACCTAAAAATCATTAAAGAATGGTTTAATTGCGTATAGCGTATAATACTTCAATATAGTATCGACCTAGACGATATCTATAACTTCGATAAGACTAGTTTTGCAATAGGCTTAATTGCGACCGCGAAGGTCATCACGAGAAGGGAATACTATAGTCGGCGATCGCTTTTATAGCCCGGAAATCGCGTGTAGGTGACTATAATTAAGTGTATAAATACTTCGGGGTAGGCGCTTCCTCCGTGCGTAATTTTTAAGGGCAAAGTCTTTATTAAATCTTAGTTCGACGGCCTCCCGGAGGATTAGCGCTTTAAGGTTAGTCCTAATGGGTGGACCTCTAATAAAATTAGACTTCGTTAGCTTGAAAAGCTCTTTATTCCGTCTACTTCTTCGCGTACGAAGGGGAAGTATAGACTTTTGATACTCGACGGCCACGGAAGTTATTTAACCCCGAAATTCGACAAAATTTGCGAGAAAAACGATATTATCGCAATTTATATATCTCCGCACTCGTCTTACTTTTTACAGCCTCTTAATATTAGCTATTTTGCGGTGTTAAAGCGTAGTTACGCTCGGCTTATCGAATCGAAAACGTATACTAGAATTAACTATATTAATAAGCTAGACTTCCTTAAAGCCTACCCGTCCGCGCGAATTAAGGCATTTAAATTAAAGACTATTAAGAATAGCTTTACCGCTACCGGTTTAGTGCCTTATAGTCCTAATTAAGTGATCTCGAAGCTTAATATTCGCCTTCGAACCCTAACACCCCTCTAGAGCTAGGGAAGCAAGTAGGATCTAAAAACGTCTTTAAACTACGTATAATTACAAAAATAAGCTTCCTTAATTAAAGCTTTACTAAAAGCGCGTTCAAAAAGCCTACCGAGCCCGCTTAGCTCCGCGATAAATTAGGTTTTAACGGCCTATTAAATCACAATACAATCGGTAGCTATTCTCGAGAAAGAAGTAGGCGAATTACGCGCTACAAACGAGACGAAGAAGCGAAAAAGTACTCGGTCTAAAAAGTAAATAGCTTCCGAAGAAGGCCTCTTAGTTTTTGAGGCATCTACCTTAGTAGCGTAGCCAGAGCAAGCGGTTCACAAACCCCCCGTGAGGCAGAATCGGCTCCGGCACCTTCACAGCCACGTAAGAGAGCATTACCAAAGTGCAGTATATATAGAATTCAGGGTCATAAATTGACTACATGTCCTAATAGAACTAGTTTTAGCTTATTAAATTTAATGGCGTTTTGGTTGAGAAAAATGCATTTAAAATAAATAGATATAGGTAGGGTGGCGGCTCGCTTGGGGTGGCGGCTCGCTTGTGAATTACGTTACTTAGTTAACTAGACACATCGCATGTTATCTTAGAACAATTAGAGTCAATCTCCTCATGGAATCGTGCCGCACAGTACACACTCTGCTTCTCCAATTCCTGACATCTAGCTTATCTAGGCATTAATATTTAGGTCCTCTGTTTCCCATTCCAGCAATGTTGCGGAATTAGATAAAGTGTTCGGATGGTTCAGGCTCAATATTTGTTTCTGCTTGGCTAAGCAATTTCGTAGCAAACTGATGGCTTCGGCATCGTGACCTGAAGATTTCCAGGTGAAAGCGAGATTAGCCATACTCGTCAGCGTGTCGGGATGATCCTCGCCGAGCCTCGTCTTGCGAGTCTCCATCACCTGCACCTCGAGCTGCTCGGCCTCCTCCCACCGGCCTTGGTTCCAATAAGTCGATGCCAGGTTGGCCATACTCGAAAGCGTGTCGGGAGACATGCTCGAGGGTCATCTCCGGGAAAGGGACGTCCAGATCCTGGTCGAGGTCGAGGTCGAGGTTTGGGATAACCAGGGCCGGGTCTGCCGCCATTGCCGCCATCTCTTCCATCATCTCCTCCATCGTCTCCTCCATCATCTCCTCCATCATCTCCTCCATCATCTCCTCCATCATCTCCTCCATCATCTCCTCCATCATCTCCTCCATCATCTCCTCCATCATCTCCTCCATCATCTCCTCCATCATCTCCTCCATCATCTCCTCCATCATCTCCTCCATCATCTCCTCCATCATCTCCTCCATCATCTCCTCCATCATCTCCTCCATTATTGCCGCCGCCGCCATCTCCAGGGCCATCATCGTCGTCGCCTCCACCCTGGGAAATCTTGGCAGCTCCATCAAAGCTGGGATCGAGGCCCAGAAGCCTCAGCACCAGATCCGTGGCAGAGTCATGGCTATTCCTCGTTATGGCCGAGACCATTGTCCACCACCACTCAGCATCTGGTTCACCGTCATGGTTCCCTGCATCACTGGAGACCAGTCGAGAGTAATCATGTTTCTCCAGACCTAAATACACCCTTGGAATAGCCTCAAGAACCTCTTGGTCTGGAATGACCAGAGCAGCGCATAAAGTAGCCACCACAGGCAGAAGCACAGGGAAATACATGATGAGGTGATGATCAAACAGACCCCAAGAGAGAAATCAAGATCTTCTATAAACTATTTCTCCAGACTCCGACTTGCCGACAAGGTCACACTACATCCCGGTCCAACGCTGTCAAAGAGACAGTGCACAACTCTAACGGTCCGACCAGTCGAGACCAGATCAGCCTGCAGCCTTGCACAGAGCAAACAGTCAGGGAAGAGTAAAGGCAATCAGACCGAAGGCCAATCACCTCCCCCCGGGACATTCGAAGCATCTTTCGATCCCATCTTGCATATGGGGTAACACAGCCAGGGTGGGAATCAGCATACCCGAGTGTGACGTGTGACTTAGTTTAGAGGACATGGCGATGATGGTCGAATAAAGGCACGGGTAATGGCAAGACTTTATACTACCTATGGTAATCAAGGCCCGTCTAAGATGTGAGGTGGTTCTTGAACTTGACCATGGGCATATGATTGTAACCTTAGGTCTAGTCTACCTCACAACCTCGCAAATGCGTTGTCTTCTCCAGATATCAAGTATCCTACTGGTAAATTATGCTAGTCAACGACATTGCCTCTTCTCCGAGACAATCCGTCGCTGCCACCAATGCGCTTGTATTCTCTCACTCGTTCCATGCCGCCTTGTTCGTCTCGCATTACATCATTCTCGCATTACCTTCTCCATTGCTCAACTGAGATGCTTACGCTCTCTGTGCCTCATCTGGCCCTGGAAGCGTCTATCACTCCCCCCCCCCGGCGACATCTAAGACTTCGGTGGTTGGACGAATGAACATCCAGACTACGGCTGCTTCTCCAGTCAGCTCCGTCCGCCCTGTAGAATGGCCGCGACATCTCCTTCACGCAATGCTTAGCCGTCTATCAAATGAATGGGGCTTACTAAGACAGCGAGGGTTCTCGCTGCAATAATATACACGCCGCCCTGTCTCGAAAGGACACGTCAACGGCCAGGTCCCGGGTCGGCGGAGCCGCGGGATGGTGAAAGCTGACGCTTGTAACAGTCCACATCCTCAACCTAATGAGACGAATCAAACTCGACCCCAACCCCATAGGCGAGGAGAACTTCCTCTTCATCAACGCCTTCAAAGAGTGGGGCGAGGGCAACGTCCTCGAGGCCTCGAGGCAATGGGGGTTCAACTTCAGCGCCGCGCTGCACGAGGCGCTCACCCTCGGCCAGTCGATACCCTGGAAAGACGACCTGATCGCTCAAGCCGAATGGATAGGGACTGTTGTCTCGGGCGCGTCTGTAGGGAGACGGGTGGTGGAGGATGTACAGAGACTAATCGTTGACGTCGAAAGGCCGAGCCTCTGCGGTCTAGACTCTGTCCTGGTTCGCCAACATGGCTACTATCCAAGGCAAATGAGTCACTTCTCTGGTGTGCGTCTCGACGTACGCTACGCTCAATTGTTAGCATAGGGTGTATAACTCGTCAACAAACTGTAGGCGTACCTAGGTGTATATAACGCCAGGTATTGAATGGCAAGCCGTGAAGGGGGAAAGACCTCGGTCGCCCTTCGAGCTAGTACTAGTGTGGCACTGTCTTCAGAGCTTATATATACGGACTCGAGAACACTAGCATCCCTAAAGGGATCGCCGCTTCGACTTAAGATGCTTCTTCTTGAGCGTGAACTCCTCCGTGAGTGCGACATTTTTCTGTTAGCTTCCTGCTTTAAGGCTAGCTGTCGTGTGATTCGATCATCCCCGGCGTCGATATCACTGCACAAATGCTCTGCCAGATCATGAAATCTTTCGCAGGGACGGCTTTAACTTAGAGATAGCATCTGCCACCGAGGGGTCGCACGCTATTTTAGTTCGCACGCTATTTCAGTTCGTAAGGAAATAATGACGCAAGATCTTGACTAGAGGCGCAAGATTTACACGCAAATAGGAAATGGAAACGACTCTTAAGACCTGTGGCGCCGCTGCCGAGTGACCCGCTAACTCCGGACATAGCAACATTTCTGCTGTGGTAACGCCGAATTGACCCACCTCGAGCCATTATGGTATGCTCACCAGACCCCTCTCTCAACAATGGCACGCAGCAGGAGCGTCCTGGGCGGCGATGCCCAACCAATGTAGCATTGAGCGTGGAGATATGGGCGGTGGACCTGAACCGCCACCCGTGGACCCACGATCTGCGAGTGGCATTTAATAAGGTAGCGGCCCCAGGTACGTGTGGGTACCCAGGCGATGCGAATAATAGGGCGTGCAGCACGCTCGCTAAAATCGCTATACAGTGGCAAACAGTCATGCAAATCGGGCCTCATCAAACTCACTGCTTCAGGCCTAGAAGTCAGTTAGAGTGCTCCCCTTCTGGCCAGGAAGTCTTCGACCGCCTTCCACTTTCTTCGACAAGTTCTGCTCCTTCAATGCAAATAGACAGGATTTAGTATTTTTTTTCTCCCACACTATGTCAGCCAAATACGACGATAGTCCTATACAAGCTGCCGTATAATTAGTGTTAAGGTAGCGCCTCGGAACTGCCAATGCACTTCTTGTGTATCGGTCCACTTCGGTATAATGTTTTCGACCTTGTTGTCATTAGTCTTCTCGCATTGACTGCGTAATTTGCGCTTGAAGTACATATAGCTACCGCAGGCGGTTTGAAATCTACACACGACACAGTCACCTAGCTTAACTTTGCTAATCTTTGGGCCACACTGTCAACGACATCGCAGAATTCATGACCAAGAATGTCGCCTTTCTGTAGTTCGACGACAACACTATAGTACAGATGAAGATCTGAGCCGCAGACTATTGAGCCTATGACCTTTATAATAACGTCTGTGTCCTCGACCTTCGCGGGCTTGAACGTCTCAACCACCTTGACGCTATTCTTGCCATTCCAGACCAGTGCCTTTATCTTCTCACCTGATAGGTTGGTGTACTTCTCGGCATCCTTAGCGGGGTTGCTAAGGTTCTATTCAGTGTTTGCGTCACCTGTATGACCAATGATCTTTCCGACGAATCCTGCTGCTTGTGAGACTGCCATTGTAAGCGTGGAACGCAGGATTTCTGTGAGACTAGAGCGACAGAAAAGAGTTTGAGCTCACGCGATTGAAACAGTTCACGAGGAGAGTACAGATGCCTTACTGTAACAGTCTTACCTATACTCTCGTGTTATCGTGCAAAGTGCGTCTCCATCTGCCGGACTTGGCGCGGGGTGATGTCCATAGCATCATGTTAGTTGTGATGCGCAGGCACCTACCGAAAGTCGACCGTTGCACGAGCCCCGTGTTAAGTCTATGATATAGTCATTCGCCGGAGGATGCTTCCGGTTGCTGACATCGCCAGTCTAAGTTGAATGTTGCCCGTATTCGAAAAGTGTTTCTGCCAGCATCGTGGTGATGTTCAAATGTTGCCAAGAGCCCTGGTGATGGGAAGTTCCGTCCAAGACACGCAACCCAGGTCGCCACACTTTTAGTGGATGGATAGAGCGGATAAAGAAGTCCAAGCTTATTAAGTCTACGGTGAGCCTAATTCGAAGGAAGGTCTCTAGCAGAAGGTAAATGGTAAGGAGAAAATACTCGGATGTTGGAAGCCGGATGGATCGGCTAGAGGCTTACTGCTAAGCAGGCCTTCGCGCGAAGAGGCCCCGGCACTCTTATCTCCTGGAGCTGTTCAGAATCCTTACAGAACTTTCTAGTAGAGAACAATTTTGGGCGCTTTAAGTAAAGCTTTACAGCCAGAACGAACACGATACACCCATGTTCAAACTTCACGAATTATGTCACAATTGCGACATCTCTCAAAGAGTCAACGTCATCCACGGCATCCTCCTAGCTTCCGAGCGGCGCCAGATTGGTGTGGCCCTGACATCATTTACTGATCATAATCAAAATCTGCATAAAATACTCTACTCTAAACTCCTCGAAAGAGCTTTTAACGGACCAATCTGACTGCAACTCCAATTTTTTCCCACAACCGTCGTGGTACTATATTCTCTATGGACAAATTCGGGAAGAAGATCGCGTCGCCAGCATACAAGCCCCCGTTCCCACCGACTTCTTCCTTGATTGCTCGGAAGGACCTAGACATCCCTGCGGCCTTCAACGATCTATCTCCCCTAGTGAGTGAACTGCAGCCACTGAGATTGGAGCATAGAAATGAGGTGCACAGATTTCTCTGTGCTTTTTTCGATCTTTCTCGATTCAATGCCATACGCAAGATGCTGTGGCTAATCGCCGTCCATGGAGCTCCACGCTCCTTGTACTACCAGAAGTTCCTGCGCCGCGAAATTGTAATCGCAGAAGAACTGGATCTTCACCTCGTTTGGGCGAAATCGAGAATATTTATCAAACCACTCCCGGACTTTCTGCTCAATTACGATTTCTGGGAGGCCTATATATCCTGCGAACCTCAATTACACCGAGCAGCGTGCGGGCTTCTGTACTCTTATTGTGGCCTCATTCGCTTTGGTCATGATTTACAGGTGGCACAAGAATGTCGTCTGATCAATGTGAACTTCGACTACCGAGCTTGGACGGAATTTGCCCGTACAATACTACCAAATCTCAACCCTAAGGACTCTAATATCATGGACACACGATTCCAATATGGCGAGTTGCGTTTAAACCGGCTCGACACTATTTACCGATATTCGCCTTATAAGTTTTCGATATCTAGCATCCTTCAAGGCTTCCCCTATGCCTTGACTGAAAGCTATGTGCCTTATATGGACCAGTATAATAACGCAGTGTCAGCGTTTGGTGTTATTGTTATTATTCTGTCGGCTTTCAATCTATCATTGTCAGCACACTCTAAAAGTCCAGATCTTGATCTTCAACGAGCAGCATACGGATTCGCGCTATTCGCCATGATTTTATGCGCCGCGCTTATTGGGCTGTTCATTGTGTTACCCTTGATTGCCTTACTTGCGACAATCTATGGCTCCATTCTCACACGGAAACGACTTGCCAAAATACAGGAGGACGAGGAGCTACCACGCTCAGCTTAGTTGATCATGGCTTACGAACCAGCCTAAATGGTCGCGAGGCTAGGAGATTAGCAAATTTGAGTACGAGTTTGAGTTCCACATATACCTGCAACAGTCGGCACGATCCGTATCCGACGAGCGTGAGAAAGACGCAGGAGACGAGGGGATCCCGAGATGACGTGGCCTCTCTGGCGCCGCAGGAAGCTGAGGAGCGTTGGTGACGGATCTGCACCGCCTGTCGCATGATGGTCCATGTGTTCAGTGGCGGTGAGGCAGATTTCGACTGTCGGAACGGGCTGGATAGGCTGAGGCGATGGCGCGTATTAGGCAACTCGGTGAGATCTGGCCCGTGCCATTGGCGGTCTCGGAAATGGCATGATAACGAGAGGGGCCGATAATATGTTAAACATGCAGGTGCAGCATGAGGATGAGACAAGCTCCGGAGACGCCGTGTGCCATGTGTGGTCAAGTCAGGGACGTGATCCGCAGCGACGGGTGATATCCTAGGAAGGTGGAAGTCAGGAGGTGCATGAAAGGATGGGGTAGGATAGTGCCGTGAAGCTTGCGGTCCATGCAAATAGCCCCTTATCCTCGCAAATCGTAAGCCCCAAAGTTGGAAAGGCATCTAGCGCTCGTCGATTCGGACGCGCTCTCGCTGCCAGCAACCGGACGCCCATGTCGTGCCCCGGGAAGACGATGATGACGAGAAGCATCGACCTTCCCTTACTCCTCGCGCTGGCGGCAAGATGGTGTCGTGGACAAGGATGGGCTCGCGCGGCGGCAGGAGAGGAGAGGCCAGGAGACAGCCTGTGAGGGCGGTTTTTCAAAACTGCCTTGCCGACGGTAGTCGATGGTGCCAATCCCCATGGAAGATTCGCAGGGGTTATTACCTCACTCAGCTCCTCAGGGGCTACGGGTCGTCAGGGAATTGACCAGTAGCCTCAGCCACGATGGGGGATGATTCTCTTGCCGACTCGCAATGGTCGCCCAACTCGGGGTGACACCAGACACAATAAACGTACAAGCTGCGATCTCGAATGGTGCGTAGAGAGAACTCTCGACGTGGCGTAAGGAAGGACAAGATGTCAGCATGCGTGGCCGCCTCAAGGGCATGGAGGGGCATGGTTCTTGCCGAGTCTTCAGCTCGAAATTTCCGTTGGTTGGCAAAGTCACGCAATCTTTGACCTCGAGTCTGCTATGGGTCATCTGTGTGAAACCGTGAGAGTCCCATTGGCATCGCCATGAGTTTATCCTAGCAAAACGAATTACTGTTGCTCTGAACTGAACAGGATGGATTAATTCAACTTCACATGCTGTGAAAACAGGACAATCCAATACGATTCATGCTTTGCATTCATTGATATCTGAAAAGGGACGTCCAAGTCATTTCATAGTTTCATAGCCAAGTTCGTACTCCCCCGTCTCGGGATGATCCTCGCCGAGCTTCGTCTTGCGAGTCTCCATCACCTGCACCTCGAGCTGCTCGGCCTCCTCCCACCGGCCCTGGTTCCGGTACGTCGATGCTAGGTTGGCCATACTCGTCAGCGTAGAGGGATGATCCTCGCCGAGCTTCGTCTTGCGAGTCTCTATTACCTGCACGTCGAGCTGCTCGGCCTCCTCCCACCGGCCCTAGTTCCGGTACGTCGATGCTAGGTTGGCTATACTCGTTAGCGTGTCGGGATGGTCCTCGCCGAGCTTTATCTTGCGAGTCTCAATCACCTGCACGTCGAGCTGCTCGGCCTCTTCCCACCGGCCCTTAAGCTAGTATGCCGTTGCTAACATACCTGTGCTATTGATGACATCTTTATAGTTATTACTAAATATTATTACTCTTTGATCTCTCGATTTTGCTGCCATTTCTCTTGTATCCGCGATGTTACCGCTTTTAGACGCATACTATGCACCTCTATAAAGCAACGTAGCCTATTGTTTTAGACACTTAGGTGATACTAGCCGTTGTAATATTGCGGATTTAACATAAGGAAAGAGTGGCCTACACCTCTCCTGGTTTTCGTATTCACCGGTAGGAAACTCTTCGTATAGGTTGCTAATAAATCTCTCCCTCCACTGGTCTATTTGTCCGTGAGATTTCAACCACGCACGCGTAGTTAGTTGCACCAGCCAATACATCGTAAAGAAGGTGCTATTCTCACTGATAGATATAAATAAATAATCCCCTAGTGTTGTGATATTATCTTTAAAATCGGGGCCTATATCCGATTCAGATGTCTCCCCGTTACTAGAGTCCGGAAGCTCTGAACTTAATATGTAGTTAGCCTTAGGTTGATACTAGATAAGGTTCTCTAGTATCCCTTGCCGATCAACAAAGCTTATAAGAGAAAGCAACTCCGCTGTAGATAGCTTTGTTTAGCGTATATAATCGAATAATATTTGCTACGTCACTAGAATTAAATGTAACGGAGTCCTCAGGAATCATGTATAGGTCTCTTGCATGGATCTCTCGTACCCCTCAAGGATCGCCAGCAACACGTCAGCGTTGGCTCACCGTAACGCTGATCCTCCATGTTAAATAGTCTAGTACAAGAGAACCTAGAGGTTCTCTAAGAATCAGTCTCTATATTCCTCTAATATACTACTTGTTCCTAGGCATCTTCATCTTACCTAGTTGATAGGCTCTATCCTGCAAACACTAGACCCCTCTTCTTTACAATTCTGATTCTTCTTCTTTAACTACCTAAGATTGAAGATGCCTCCCAAAGCAATAATGATTACCCGATCGTCGGTCGCTCGTGGATCCCTAGCGAACCTATATCGAACCGACACTAAATCTATTATTCCTCCCGCCACTATCTACGATAGAAGTAGTAGCCCGGAAAACAATTCTTAGGGCCGGACTCTCTAGTTTAGCGAGCACCTCGCTAAGGTCGAACGCCTCGAGACCCTTTATACGTTACTTACCTAAAAGAAGGAACTTAAGGAAGCGATCGGCTAAATAACTAAGAAATCGACGTCGGATCGCTATCGACGTTCTCCCTCTACGTTATCTAAACGAGGACGAGCTCCTAGAGAAATCAAAGTCGAGGTTCCGATCTTTAAAGTACACTATAATATATAGTAACGCTAAACCTAGCTTAATGACCTCTAGGATATATTCCTAGGTATACCCCGTAAGTATAGATCGGATAAAAGAAAGATCCTTAGTGCCACTAACCGTATAAGCTCTAACTACCGCGAGAGATAGCGACACTATATTAAAGAGAAAGCGGAACCCTAGCGAACCGCTTATAAAACGATATAGGAACTATTCGAGAAATAGACACTTACGCTACTACATAATTCGGCCACACTATAAGCCGATATTGCTACCTCCTTATAAGAGGCCCGTTAAGGCCCGAACTAAAGTCTAAGTGACTTTAACTCTTATCTTATCTCGCTTAAAAGGTATTTCGAAGCACTATCTGTCAGGACCACTACCTGACTGAAGAGGTTGATGACGCCTGAGGCATACATAGGTGCCCCAGGACGTACGTGAATGGATGATCTAGGACCTCACCGCCCACGAATGGGCCAGTCGTGTATATAAGCATTTCTCGCTGGTCCGTTGGACGGACCAGCGTTCAGTCTCTTCATACAATACACCCTATTGTACTGCACGCATAACTGGGCCATCTACCTCGCTTACCTACCTAAACCTAGAGACTGCGTGGTCTCACACTATCAGAGGACTAACGGGCGCTTAACTTCTTCACTAAATTATAGCTCCGCCTCCGATCGCGTATCTAGAATACTATACTTTATTTACCTAAAAATCGGGACAAGATAGTATCGATAGCGATGCACTATTAGAACCTTATTTAAATAGAGTCGGGAATAAAGAACTACCCGCCCCGCTTAATAAATAAAAGATATCACTCCCCTAACCAATAGGGATATCGAAAACGGACTAGCTTTAATAGGCCACCCTCTAACTCTAGTCGGGGCCAAGGATAGAACCGTAGAAGCTTCTAAGGACGAGGTAGTGATCGAAACCTAAATACTAAACTATATTTAAACCGGCGTGAATTCGGCGTAAAGCCGTATAATCGCTAGTGAAACGATGATATAACTCTACCTAAACTATATAGCTATTTTACCTACGGGTTAATAGACCACTAGAGGGACGAGTGCCCCTAAAATTCGACTAAGGTCTAATTAATACTAGCACACTCGGGAAAAGCTAGAGGGTTATAAGCAGAGGTGACGTGTGCTTAGGGGTTATACCTTAACGTATTTCACTAGTGAGTTGGCCACACCCCTGAGTTGGCCACCCCACCCAAAACGCGTCAATTAATTAGACTCTCTATTTTCAACCACCTACCATGCCACCAAAACGTACTCAATCCTCTCGAAATTCAATTGAAAAAGAGGGTAGGATCTTATTAGCTATTCAGGCTATTCAGAAGCAAGAAATTGCTTCAATTCGCGAAGCAGCACGCCAATTTAACGTACCGCGTTCAACTCTCACAATACGCCTTAATGGGGTTCAAAACCGCGCGTCTTCTCGCGCAAATAATCTAAAATTGACTGAAATTGAAGAGGAATCTCTTCAAAAATGGATTCTCTCTATGGATCTCCGCGGAGCAGCTCCTCGGCATTCTACTGTACGAGAAATAGCGAATTTACTACTCGCGGCGCGTGGATCTACCCCTCCTCCTTCGGTCGGCCAAAATTGGGTTACAAAATTCGTGAAAAGGCATCCTAACCTTTCCTCCCGATTCTCGAAAAGCTATAATTACGAGCGCGCGAAGTGTGAAGACCCGAAAATCATTGAAGAATGGTTTTCTCTCGTCCAAAAAACGATCATTTCTCACGGTATCGATCCCGATGATATCTATAACTTTGATGAGACCGGATTCGCAATGGGCTTGATTGCGACCGCGAAGGTTATCACGAGAAGGGAATACTACGGACGGCGATCGCTTTTACAGCCCGGAAATCGCGCGTAGGTGACTACAATTGAGTGTATAAATGCTTCAGGGTGGGCGCTTCCTCCGTGTATCATTTTTAAGGGCAAAGTCTTTATCGAATCTTGGTTCGACGGCCTTCCGAATAATTGGAGACTCGAGGTTAGTCCTAACGGATGGACCTCCGATGAAATTGGTCTTCGGTGGCTCGAAAAGCTCTTTATTCCGTCTACTTCTTCGCGTACGAAGGGGAAGTATAGACTTTTAATACTCGACGGCCACGGAAGT